TTCTCTTGAGCTGAGCATTTCATCGTCTAGTTTCTTTCATTTCGTGAAAGTCGGTTCATGATTCTCCGTGATGTGAGTAAAGAGGTTTAGCCTTTTAACGGGGATTTTGCGCTGATTTCAGGACGTGTTACGTCCTTGGTCGCCGATGCCATGTAGGACAACTGAATGTGCCAGATTACCTCGAGACAGTCGGGGGCTCCAGGGGCAGAATTGACGGGCTTCGAGAAAACCCCACAATCCTCCAGATGGTCAAGGGAACGACACAGTCGGATCGGTCCATGGCTGTTAAGAGATCCCAAAATGGTTAGGGACAAGGCACGATGCACACACGAGTCACGCACGGAGATCTCTATACCTGTAACTAAAAAAAGACTTGCGGCTCTTCTTGTCTTTTCGCTAGGTGACCTCCGATCAGGATTTCCTGGAGTTGTGGTGCTAAAATTACGGTCAAATGCACCCAGTTATTGCACCCACCAATTATTCTTATGCACCCACCACCCACCACCACCAAATGCACCAGCCAACTATATCGCATTCCCTAGTTAGGATTTTCACCCACAAGTCCCTTATGGCTTATGAATAATGTTAACTTTCATCATTGGCTTAGCACAAGAGGCTGGTGTGTCTGTGCCGAACCAATTTTTTAGTTCGTATGACAACTCTCGTACTTGCCATACCACATTCTCCAACCACGGGTGGAACTCGAGGTCTGAGCGCATCAAACCCTATCAAACTCCTCAAATCGCTGTCATGCTTCACGCCGCACTGGTGTCAACACTGAATTACGGCGCGTGGGCAAGGTCAGACATTCCTGGACACGGATGGCGGCATGTGTCGCGTTCGACGCTGACACGGTGAGACCACATAGCAGCCCGACGTTTGGTCAGAACTCGGGTGGGCCACTCCTCGGCTTTTACTTTCTCCTGACGCGTCGCCGCCCTCGGTCAACCCCTTGGAAGAGCCAGACGCGTCGCTGGTACGGGCCCAGCTCAAAGTGGTCCTCTCAGGTCCCCGACTGGCTGCTGTGTGATGGCGATAGGCCGGGGTGGTCCTCTCAGGTCCTCGACTGGCTGCGGGGGGCTGGCGGCAGGCCGGGCAAGGGCTCAACGGCTCCCATTGGACGAGACGGTTGGAGTGGGTTTTAGAGAGGTGGCGAGGTGAGGTGAGATAAATGGGGCACGAGGCCCAAGGCACGTTGCACGAGACATCTCTCGCGCAACTGCTGATTCCGGCTTGCACGGCGCAAAGGTCAAGGCTGACGTCAGTTGACGTGGACACAGTAAATGGCCTCCCACGAGAATTTGACAAACATTACACATCATGAAAAATGCAGTGGAAGGCGTTGTATGACCAGCAGTCTGTACCACCTGCGGGTATTTCGACACTTCGACGCCAATGGAGGACTATCAGCTCCAGCGAGAGACGCCGGCCAGCCAGCCGGCGGCTCCCACCACGCCGAAGTAGTGACGTGCCCCCGCAGGGGCCTCCTCCTGGCAGCGGGCACGGTCAACACCAGCGTCCTGTCCTGGAGCGGACCGCCAGACGGAACCGTCTATTTGCCCCGCTCATCCGCCTTGCTCTTCGGTGCATGCTAACCGGACGGCGACGGTTGCGCAACGCTGACCGCCAGCCGCCAGCCCGACGCTGCCCAGGGCCTGACCACGCCGGTAACTCCTGGGCCCGTCGGCAGCCACCGGCGGCGGAGCGCTGCCCCGGGGCCTGACCACGCCGGTAACTCCAGGGTCCGTCGGCAGCCACCGGCGGCGGAGCGCTGCCCAGGGCCTGACCGCGCCGGTAACTCCAGGGTCCGTCGGCAGCCACCGGCGGCGGAGTGCTGCCCAGGGCCTGACCACGCCGGTAACTCCAGGGTCCGTCGGCAGCCACCGGCGGCGGAGCGCTGCCCAGGGCCTGACCGCGCCGGCAACTCCAGGGCCCGCCGGCCGGAGGCACGTCCGACCTTGACGGTCAGCCGAGTGCCGCCTAACCAGAGCGGAATGGCCCTGGAGTGCGTGATTAGAGTGAATTTTGGACTGGATAGCATTGACTGATCTAAGGCCACTAGCAGAGCATAAGATGACTTCATGGTTCTGAATGTTGTGGCCGCTCTGACGACCTATCGGAACGGAGCGTGTCTGTCAATGCGATCCCGTGTGTGGGAATAGCCATTTCACCCCGAAGGCTGTACAGTGCGAAAAGAAGGCCACGCTGTCCGAGCCGTGAACATCGCGCTTCACAATTCCAATGATCGTCTGAGAGCATGCCGTCGACATTTTGCCACTGAATTCTGGGGGCTACCTTTGAGCCTGAAACGAGTTGTAGAACTTAGTGCGAGCGTGCCAGTAGCGTTGCGTTCGTGTTACTACACGCGTGTAATGGATGCCAAATTCAATCTGTATTGTTTATTTTCGTGCCCGACGCAGTGAAATATTTTTGAGATAACTGCATATGATTTTCAAGATGAAAGCAGTAAGTGTGGGTAGATTGTAGGCTCTGCTCACATTTCAGCCCAACACGGCTGATTGATATGTGTCACGGCTCGTGAGCCTGAGCAGCCCCTTTACCGGTGAAGCTGCGTAGAGCGTCGGGCCTCATCACCACAGTGTCAATGTCATCACCACTCGGTCGCGTACCGGGCAGTGCACATTACAAAACGGTGAATCTTCTGACAGAACTATGGCTGGCCGTAGGCTTCCAAAACGGAGGAAACCACGGCTCTGCTTCGGTAAAAACAGTGGCATAGTGGCAAAGTCTACTGGAAGCTGCGGAACGGTTGAGGCCGTTGTCACACTGTCCTGGCGTGTTGTTCTGTCTGCTGAGGCCCAACGGATGCATGAGTAGCTGTACTACACCAGTATTGCTTAGTCCTACCTGCTGGACCCGTTCCTATAACGGCAGTAGCTAGGCCGGAGTGCGCGTCGGGCATGGTTTCGTAGCCGAGGATCGCAGGACGGGCCACAGCCTTCACGCCCCAGTGGACCGACCGCAGCTGCTAATTACCCGTGAACTGGGCTGTCATAATAGTCAAACGCAACGAGACCCACCGCTTCACGGCCGCTGTAGAGTTGAAATAACGCCGGCCTCGGTACACCACCCGGCACGGCCTCAGACAGCCCCAGCGCACGCGCTAGACACCTCTGCCGACGGCCGCAGTACACACACCAGGCACGGCCTCATACGGCCCCAGTGCACCACATGACACGTCTACATACGGCCGCAGTGCACCACCTGACACGGCCCCATATGGCCCCAGCACACCACCTGACACGTCTACATACGGCCGCAGTGCACCGCCTGACACGGCCTCATACGACACCAGTACGCCACCTGACACGTCGGCAGACGACTTCAGTGAACCACCTGACACGGCCTCATACGGCCCCAGCACACCACCCGACACGTCTACATACGGCCAAAGTGCACCACCTGACACGGCCTCATACGGCCCCAGTACACCACCTGACACGTCTACATACGGCCGCAGTGCACCGCCTGACACGGCCTCATACGGCACCAGTACGCCACCTGACACGTCGGCAGACGACCCCAGTACACCACCAGACACGTCTGCAAACGGCCCCAGCGCGCACACCTGTCACGCTCTCAGACGGCCCCAGTACACGTGCCTGACCTCTATAGCGGCGTCATTGGAGCCCAGATTAGATGTACACCAGTGCACAGGGATGCAGTTCTTGTTAGGATATAACGGAGGTCAGGATCACGCCCTGAAAGGCCAGCCACTGACAGGAACTGTCTATGGCTGGCCTTTCCCCACAGACCCTTTGGTCTATGGGTCGTACTAGACATTTCCTAGGCTCTCAGATGTGTCGCCAGAACGACAGTGGTCAAAGAGGCAGTATGAGGGATCGATAACTGGAGCGGATATATGACATCCCAGATGCTTGCAAGTATCAGTATTGAGCTTCTCACATTGCAGGGTAAGAACTGTGTGGCCTGAATCACCAGAAATTCTGTTGATGACGGTAAGTCCATGATGCGCTGGAATGAAGAATAATGTGTGACGATGTGAGCCTGTATTACAGTAGATTTCTTGCGCACATCTACTAGAAAGGTTGCCAGATCTCTTCCACATTGGAATCACACAAGAGAGAAAACGAGGGCACAAGGATGCGTTTATTAAGGACAATCTAGACAGAAATGCGCTGTCCGTTGGCACGTGATTGTAACGCACCTCACAGTATAAGTCTCGTTAACCCAATCTGTGCCAGTCTAGCAGATTGCCCTCGCACGGAAATGTAGCGCGGTAGATTTAAAGCGCGAAATGAAGAACTTGTCCATGGCGAGTCCAGTTCCTAGTGTTTTGGTAAATTCCGCGGCAGTGGGAAGGGAAAAGCTGTCAACCTCAAATGGTGCTCCTGACGCTGCGCTGACTCATCACTCGTGCTCACACCGGCCTCGATGGTGTAAATCGCCGTCGCAAACCAGCGGATCAGTAATCTGGGATAGGTAACCTGGGATAGGTAACCTGCGTTGGCGAACCAGCGGGATAGGTAACCTGGGATAGGTATCCTGGGATAGGTAACCTGGGATAGGTAACTTGCGTTGGCGAACCGGCGGGACAGGTAACCTGCGTTGGCGCAAAGCAATACGTCATGACGTGTATTTCAAACATCACCACTGTAAAACACACCGGCCGCGCGCCGGCTAAGGCGCCAGACAGACCACGCGCACAGCGTCCGTCGATCGATCGTTCGACACATCGCGTCTACAAAGTATGGCAACACAGAGATGAATATGATCGTCGGTACGCGCATATGACGTCACAATCCTGTCCAGAGGCCACATCCGTCACATACTAACGGCTTCGGTAGCGTCGCCGCGAGCCGCGGCGCGCCGCCAGTCGCAGCACACCCGTAACATTCACCGGCGAGTCGGACCACCCCCCCCCCCCCCCCCCCCCCCCCCCCCCCCCCCCCACCCCGGTGGCAGAGTCTTTCAAGCCGTCACATAGCGGCATTCGAGTGAACTTCAGCTTCCCCCGGAAGGTCCAGTGATGAGGCCGATCAGGTCAATCGCTGGCATGATGATGCACATTTGAAGACCTGTCTTCCTGAGGTTGGACAGGCATACATATCTCATGACAAACCATGCAAGTAAACGAGCTCCTCGAGTCTAGCAATCGCACCAGACTTGAACATCTGTGCCGTTGTAGTTGCATCCACCATGTAAAGAGGGCAGCACCTGCCCGAGATTAGCGGTTGCGTCATTGTCGTAACAACCATAGCATAACAGGGTACAAATAGGGAGTAAATCTCACAAAGGCTAGTCATCGCAGGCGACAGTCCACACTAACGTCAACCCACACTAAATACGGCTTTGTTCTACAAAAACAATGTCACTCAAGCACCCCACGGCGGTCTTTTCGACGGGGCAGGCCATCTACGATTAAAGCACCAGAATCAGACTCAAAGTAACAATAATGCCAACAAATCCGAGCGCAACCTGACAGCTCGGTGGTTTACACTTCCACATGCACGAGGCAACACATCGGGTCGTTCCCACGACACTACAAATCACAACGTCAAACACTGAGGCCAAGTGCCGGCTGCACCACAGGCCGGCCAGAGCACCACCGCACGCACCGCCACGGTAGTCCAGCGGACGTCTGTCACACTCCTGCGCGCGCGAACGCAGCCTGCGGCGGCCGTCACCCGAGCAGGCGCCGCCGCCGCCGCCCGGCCAGCGTCCTCCCCGTTCGCCGCCGCGCCGTCCCTCAGTCGGGCATGTCGATGACCATGGCCGGCGCCACTGGCTTCTCCTTCTTCTTGGCGGCCGGCGCGGCCGGCGCGGCAGGCGTCCGCTCGGCGGCTGGCGACGAGGTGCGCCGCTCGGGCGCGTGGTACGAGATGTTGCAGTACTCGCGCAGGCACGGACAGACGTCGAACAGAAACGTGCAGAAGTCGCGCCGCAGTCCGAACCACCCTGCGGGCCGGCGGGACGCTGTCAGCGGCGCAGCACGCGCAAGGGACAGGCGGGAGGGCCGCTGGGAGGATTTTGTCCGGTGATGAAGCAGCCCTGGATGTCCTGGGTACATCATATCAAACTGGACGAGGTACTGCGTCAAAGTATCATGTTGACTGTGCTTCAGCTTGGCCATGGGATAAGCAGCGATTTAAACTGCTCCGACGTTGACAGAACGCGGCTCGCGATCCACGTTGCATTAATGTGGAGGCTGTTCATTTAATAGCAATTACAAATTGGTAGCAGCTCATGAATGAAAGCTCTGAGGGAAGAAAGAACAACTGTATGGTGATACTCACAATGATTGTTTGGCTTAGAACTGAAGGACATCAACATCAGCGTGAAGAACGTGATGAAAAGTGGTGAGACGGTGGCAAAGTAGCTTAAGTTACTTAGATCATCCAGCTTGTTCGCCAACAGCACCTGGAATATATACATAATTAAATAAAACACATCCTGAAAAAACCAATTGCGGTGCAACCAGGCTGAAAGTATCCCGAATACCATCAAAACTTCCACAACTTTGAGCAGTTTGGTGCGGAATGTCGGTCTAGGGCTACTTCAGCATGTATACTCTCTGTCAAAACTCAGCAATGGTAGCTACCTGTACGAATGTTGAAAACGGAACCGCCAGCAAATCAAAGAACTGCTAAATAGTCTACAATATTTATAAATAGTCTACAACGTTTAACTCTGTGAAGAGACCACGACGGAGAGGAAAATAAGTTTTGCACGATTTGCATGACGACTTGCACGCACGCCTCCATGGACGCGAGATGACCTCCGACACCGGAGCGTCCTAAGTCTCTAACCACCACCATCATCCCGGCCGCTCACCAGGAAGCCGAGTATGGGCAGGATGAGGAAGCTGTAGCCGAGCGCCGTGTGCGCCGACGTCCGCCGCTGCTCGGCGCTGGCGTTCGGCGTGCGCAGCAGGATGCCGGCGAAGATGATGGCGTACAGCAGGCCGACCACCGAGAGGCAGAGCACGATCCAGAGCGGCACGAATACCACCTCCCAGGACCAGTGCACGAAGCCGTCCAGTCGCAGCGCCAGGAAAATGAACTGCAGTATGTTGACTGAGCACACTAGCTCCAGCTGGCGGGCGCGAGGTGGCGGGTCAGGACGGGCGGCTCTCGGGGTGCACGCAGGGCTCGTCTCTCTCTAACACTGTGGGAGACACGGTGAGCCGAACACGGCCCACAGCGGTGACCTCGTGTCGGTCGCTGGTAGGGTCATGTTAATGGCTGCCAAACGGCTGGCAATCTGACATAAAACAAAGGTTATTAGAAGACTGCTAGAATGATGATCAGTATGCACGTTTGTACGTACTTAGACAACTACTGTAATATATATATATATATATATATATATATATATATATATATATATATATTGCCCAGTACAACGTAGCCACGACGAGCAGCATCCTAAGTCAACGTGAGCCAACAACCAAGTCGACAGGTGCTCTGACCGGAAGGTGTTCTGCAGCTCTCAACCAGCGGCGGTCGTCCCTCACCTCGCACGAACGGTCGTGTTTCACCGCCCACACGCAGACGACGATGCTCAGGATGGAGATGAAGATGAGCGGCACGAACACCAGGATCCACATGTGACGGCCCGACTCCAGCCGGTCGCAGACGAGCAGCTCGAACATGAGGAGCACCAGGTGCACCGCCAGACTGATCAACATGGCTTTGAAGTGCACGTACGCGTCGCCCTCCATCCTGTCGGTAGTCAAAGCTGGTCAGCACCCCAGGGACAGCGTCCCTCCGCCGGCGGCACGGCACGCCCCGGGCTTCCCATTTCTCGCCGGTTTTCAGTTAGCAGTAGACGTGATGTCATATCGGAAGAGCAGCTGACCAGATTGCTTCTACAACTGCATGCACAAAATCCGCCAAGGACAAACGCGCTCAGAAGGCGACATAAATCTTAGGCGAGACCAAATTCAGAACCATATACACACAACTTTCCATATGACAAACGACATTCTACAGTATATTGGATGTACACTAGGTTAAATGACATTCCAATCAACATTTCGCTGTAAAAAACAATGCATGCACAAGTATTATCTGAAATGTCAGGAAAACGCCGCTAACACCGACTAAAATAACATGAATCATGTATTTACAATCACATCTAATTAGATGTTAGATGACCGGCAGGCCCTGCCGCCATCTGCCGCGCCCGACTGGCTGCATGGGCCGAGAGATCAGGGTTGAGACCAGCGGACGGACCTGAAGTGGGGGTAGCGCAGCCAGACGGCGATGCCCACAGCCGCGCCCAGCACCACCAGGCCCTTCCAGACCCAGATGGGACTGAACACGGCCCAATAGTTCCACGTCAGCTCGCCGTCCAGGCGCAGCGTCAGCAGCGCCGTGAACGTCAGCAGGCAGCAGTGCACGACGAACTTGCTGTCAGGGCGTGGAAACATCATCCGGTGTTGTGAAAGTTGATGGCAGTTGGATGGGATGGCTAACTCATTTTCCAGGCAATGCAGTGCAGCATTCTGCTTGATATGAATCAAGATGCATTGTACAAATTGTATTCTACAGTGCTTGAATTGTCATAGTTGGGAAATCTACACACTTGACCAGCAACCCAAAACCCTTTTCCACAAATTAATCAACAAAACTAATTTCATAGGAGTTAAAGAATTATACAGTGGGTCGTTCAAAATGAAGGGAAGTGGAATCAAAATAAATAGAGTGCAACATATTTTTTAGCTGTATTGTGCATTATTTAGATGATAAAGTGCATAAAGAGATAAAGATTAATTTGCAGTTCTTCCACCCATACTGATGATGCACAGATGTGAACATGATGGCGTGCACTGATTGCATTACACCAGTTACAACGGCATTGCTGACCTTGTTGCAGAAGGAATTTACCTCCAAAATGGGTGCAGTCAGCTCCCTGATTCTGATGATGAGCTTATGATGCCACCAGCATTATGGGGGCCCCCAGCGTCCAGTACGATCAACATTTGGGCACCTATGTCTGCATGATAGCTGTATCATAGTCATAATTTAAGTCAAAATTTTCCAGCATGACCCTAGAAAGTTAGTTACAGGATACTTATACAAGCTGCAACATATCTAATAGTTATCAATTGTTTATCAGAATCTGGATGAAATAATACAAAACACACACTTACCATGGATTGAAATCCTGGAAAAACCTGTGGACATCCATTTCTATGCCTGAAAACAAGATTGGGACACATAACCATTAAGTTTCATTGGGAAAAACTGTGGTAATATGCTTCACTCTTTTCAATGTGACATGTGCAATATTAGCTTGTTAACCATAGGTTAACACTGCAGTTCCCTTTTTGGAACATGTTTTTTTGTGCATCACCTAGCAACTAGCATACCTACCAACTGTTCACTTTGGTGGATATTTTACGGCAAGTAGAATTCCAGATAGCTTCATAGCATTGCTTCCATCTGTTCTTGTACTTAATAAACAGACCACCAGCCCATGTAAAGCTGTGGTATGCCCACCATAACTGCACTGGTTTATTATTTTATATCCTGATGCATTTACTAGTAAATTCCCTTCATTTAAGAGGAATTAGTAGCAAAGACATCATCATCAAATACATGATTAAGTGCATCAGTGCCCATACCATATTATGGTCTGGAGCCAGGCAGATTGAAAACCAAGGTCTTCTTGTATCATGCAAGTTGCTTGTTACAACTTCCTAGTAAACAACTTGATAAAAAAACAATTGAATAAAAGAAAACCTGGAAATGCTGCCATCACCATCAACTGTACCAAAATTATTAAGTTACGCCTAAAGACTCCTGAAAGGAAGACATCTGTGGCACCATAAAGCTTGATAAGCCAAACATCATATGATTGTTATCTTCATATTGCTTTGAGAAATTAATGAACAAGAATTCTGGTTGTATTTCTAGCAGTCATGTCATTTCAATAGTTGCTTCAATTGCTCCAACTGGGCCTTACCTCATACTTTATTGGTTAACCACCAATTGACATTTGACTACCCGGTCATGGTAGACATTGGTACATAATGATAAAAAAGAGCATTATACATTAACTGCCATTATTAAGGCAGAACATATCATAAATAATTGTAAAACAGGCCATCTTAACTCTTACCTTGGAACTTAAATAACTATGATAGTGAACATCTGAGTGCTGCAAACACACAGCAACTGCAGCCCCGGCGCCATTCCTAAGCAGTCACAAAATTATGCACATCAAGAAACATAAAAATGTACCCAGCCAAGGTCACAAGATTCCAATGAAATATGCTTCTTGTGTATCCAAGCAGTCTTCTGTATTGGTTGCAGATTGGTCACAATGAGGGGCAAATATGACATATTTGGGTGAGGAATGAAAAGCAAAGAGAATGTGACATTTTAACAAAACTTTTTGATATGGTGCGTATATATGGCCTGGAACGTGGATGCCAATGGGACACTGGGTTGATGGGGGGGGGGGGGGTCAGTTAGGTTAGGTTAGGTTTGGTCAGGTTTGGTTAGGTTAGATTAGGTTAGGTTAGGTTAGGTTAGGTTAGGTTAGGTTTGGTTAGGTTAGCTTAGGCCAGGTTAGGTTAGGTTAGGCTAAGTTAGTTTAGGCTGGGCTGGGGGAGTTGAGGTTGTCACGTGTGTGCGGTGCTCGGGAGCTCGATATCATAATTATTAAAATTTGAAGGTAGGAGCATGAATCTACCTGATTTATGATTATTTATGATACGTCCCGCCTTAAACATGATGAATGATGTACAATGCATATACAATAAATATATATATATATATATATATATATATATATATATATATATATATATATATATATATATACAATGCAAATACAATGCATTTGGCATACAAGACCCAGGAGCCTAGAGCTCCTTACGGCAAGGCTCATGATTTCTTACCTTGTTTAAACAGTTCATGTACTATTTTTCATATGCATGCATTTGTGCTCGGCATACCAACGGTTAAAGCACCCGCAACCCCCGAAAACCAGAGCACATTTCCATGTCGTATCTAATGACACATCAGCGTAAATACGCTCGCTGACCACACAGCAAAAGTGCATTAGGGTTTACTGTCTCTTATGCGCTTGAACTGTAGGCATGTTGTCGATTTGGTAGGATTGGGAAAGTTTTTTCGTGATCTAATAAAACACTTCACGGTATGGAATGAGCCGTCGATAACAGTGCGCGTCTGAACGCGGATTTGTTGAGATCCGGAGTCGGAATCAGGGCTGTAGTGGCACAGGGGGTACGTTTCCCTTTAGATCCCGAGATCAATGGCCCAAAGCGCTCGAATGGCTGGATGTAGGCGATATTAGGAACCTGGGGGCCCATATCTGGTCGTGTAGGCCAGGCCCCAAAATATCAGTCCGCGGTCTGCATCTAAATTGCCGCTTTATTGGTCCTTTGGGTCATCGGTTGCGTTTTAATTGACGTTAATGTGGCGCATCGGTGATTTCTCATTTCTGTCGCAGAGTCCCAGATTTGGGCAACGAGGCCGCCAACAGGAGTGTCACGGTTCTGCACTGCGCGAATTGTAGAGAGTCTGCCGAATGCATTACACAAATGTATGGAGGTAAAAGCTGTGAAACGTGCGACAGCATTTGAAAAACGTTTTTAATCACGCGTAGAGATGGCGACCGTCTGTTTTCAAAACACTGTTATAGGGCTACGTGGTGGCACCGTGTCATGTCTGTCGGCAGGAGGCAGCCATTCTGCAGCGTTGACCCTTAGAGCGCACATGCATGGTGGCGGGACGGCTAATCAATCATCTGCAAAGAAGGCGCATTCATTTGCAAAAAGCTTACTGTCGTGCATAATATGGGGACTTCTGTACATGCTATAGAGCCGAAATTGGTTGGGTTTTCCTCTGCCTCCGTAAATTTGCTGCGGAACGATGGAGCAGTGCCTATGAGTCCTTGGCAGCGCATTACTTAATGCGGCCGGCCGTTCGGCAACGTGGTGGGAACCAACATCAGCTTTTCAAAAGCACTTATAACCGCAGGCGGAGTGTGGCAAGTGGTTCATTTAAGACACTGATGTAGGGCTACCTGCTGCCACCGACAACAGTTAATATCATCTGTCATATGTCATCATTTTATATGTCATCATGGCATTTCATCTCTCAATGCAGCCGGCTGGCCGCCGGCAACCGTGTAGCGAGCATACAGCAGACTTTCAGGAATACTTATAATCAAATGCAGTGTGTGCAAACGTGAACATTTGATAGTGCTTGTATATAGCTCTCAACTAGGATCGTAGCATGCTTGCCCTCTGAAAGAATTTATTTATTTGAATTGGCGTCATTACAGCCCGTAACTCAACGCTGGCGGGCCGACCGGATCGCGTAGCTGCAGAGTTACGGCAGTCGATTACAAATAGTTGTTGTCGTGCGCGGCTAGGTCTATCTGGTTCGTCATCATATGACCGCCCGATAGGGAATTTCTGAATGTGGCTGGCCGGCTGAGAGCCTGATGGCGAGCATATGGGACATCACCAATGCGTGTGGGCAAGGTTTAGGGTGGATTTTATGAGTAACGGCAGTCAGTTGCAAACGCTTCTTTTTCAGTGCGGTGGGTGTTCCTGCATGCATGAAGGGTCTGTTTTCGATGTTCCTCAAAAAGTTGGGATTGGGGAGGTCAGAGGAACCGCTGAATCTGCACAAAACCTGCTGCCACCGGATCCTTTTTTGGCGTTATCAGCTATCTGCGCGCAACTTAAACGGGTTTTCCGCACTTGCGGTGGATAACAATAAGCGTGGGGTCACTGGGAGAGATATGTTAAGAATTGCAGAAAAAGATAAAACGAAATATTCCCATAATAAATAAATGGAAATGAAAATAGACGACTGATTATGATAACCCATATAATGGATATCAACATGTTAGCATGCAAAATCAAATGACTGGACAAAAATATTTAGAAACGAATTAAATCAAATTTACCAGCAGCAGTTTACACACTTGTACATTGCTTCTGTTATGTAACAACAAACTGGGCCTAAAATATACTTGAAAAAACTACGCTACTAATGTCTACCACAGCCTCCCCCAAACTCATCTGAAAACCACATTTCATTTCGGAGGGGAATGGAGGAGGCTGGATGCGAGTTTGAGGAGCTTAGGGGAGGTGGGCTGAGCCACGGGACTGAACAGATAAGTTTGATGAAGCTTTGAGGAGGTAAGAAGAGTGGCGTTAACAGACCCAACATATCACTGTGCTCTTGGCTGTGAACGAAAGTGGTCGGTGACCATCACCTATTTTGTTCACATGACCCCCTGACAGTGCATTACTGAATGTGCCCCCAGCCGGCAGTGAGGTGTCCTTAGAAAAATGCTGTGATCACGCGCGGGAAGTGCAACCGTGTGCCCTTCATAGCATTGCCGTAGGTCTCATCACCTGGCACCGTGGCGGCCTTGTCAGCCGATGACACCCGTTTTGTTTTTGTTTTTTTAGCTCACACCCTGGCAGACCATTACTCATAGATGGCGATTGTAGAGGCGCACTCAGAGCCTTGGCCAGAGCCTTGGCCTAGGGTTGACAAAGGGCCCCTGACATCAAAAGCCTCCCCCCACCAAAAAGAATCGCCGGATATATGCCATTTATTATTGAGCAATATATGAAATATAAGCCGGGCACTACCGCAAGATCAATTCTGTCTTAAGTTTACAGTAAATAAACCGACAAGATCATGCGTAAAAATGACTATGGAACTATTTGCCGGAGCTCTTCATTTTACAATCGTCCAGTAGACTCTTATGAACCGACATAACTCAGAAGTTTTGTCAGAATTTCATCTGGGCTGTACAGGAACAGTAGCAAGGATTCCGCAAATGTACATTAAAGATCAAAATGGGTCAGCAACTTGTATTAACATGGCCAAGCATGTTGGTCTGAATATGTTCAATATTCAGTTAAAATTTTTTGGTGTTGCAAATTAACTGACGTAGTTTTGAGCATGCACGCCCGCATATCTTAGCAACAAAAAACTTGATGCCAGGCGTTGCAGTCTCCCTGCGCCGCGCGGTATTGGACCTGCGGCTTATATTAGGCCGTGATTGGCAAGTGGACCAAAATAGTGACGCATCTGAAAGAATCACCTTTGAACGCTTTTGGACACAGAATTGTACCTCTAGAGATATTCTGGGCGTATATTTCACCTGTTCGGTTCTTAGGTTGATGACAATAACGTACTGGTCTTTACAGCACCCCGAAGAAGTGCTAAAATCTGGTGGTGGAATCGGAAGAGTAAGATATAGTATCCATTTTCCGTATGACTGTAATCGTTAATGTGGCCAGAGGACAGCCTTAAAAGTTGTAAAAGATACTCGCCCAGTGTAATATTTGAACCGCACGAATTGATTTTGAAAGGCCTTCGGAAACATTAATGTACAATGGTCATTGTTGCGCGCTCGGCACCCGCCCCTGGCGTCACTTGCAGTGGCCAACGCCGTTCGGTTTTGCGAAAACTGCGACCCATCCCATCGCTATTCTTGCTCCCCGAGATAACGGGCGTATCACTGGGGCTTTATGATGCACTCAGCTGCTGGGACTATGTGGAGCCGTCAGCCTCTCACCCTAGCCGGAAGGGCGAGCACTCTGTGGAATCAATCTCCACACCTGTGGCTTCCCAGATACACAGTGGTTAACGCAGGCGCATTAACCACTACACTATCGACAACCGGCGAGTAGACTCAAATCGTTTGATGGTATTTGTTTCACCAGTCAGTTCTGCAAAATAATGAACGTTCTCAGGGAAACATGGAATGGTCTTGTGCGTTTTAAACTCATTCTGATCCATTCCATTCAACACCAATAAGGCCCCTTATTTCTGGTAAAGGGGCCCTCTTGAGCACGACACAACGGGACTCATCGCTGTTCCCGGTCAACGCCAAAGGGCTATTCTGTCTCATCGCGGTGCGTTTTCCAGCCATCATTCTGGCGACAAGGGGCGGCATCCCCTGGCCGATCCGACAACCTTAAGAGGGATACATCATATCTTAGTCCTCACACGGGAGGCATTCTGACCCGCGCAGTTGACCCCGGATCGACACATGAACCGTCATTAACGCAACAACATCCCTGCTCGCTGCAGGTGGTCAAATAATTCACACATAGACTCCAGTTGCGCTTAACGGGCCCAGGCTGGATAAGGTTCGGATGACCCAGCGTTTGGAACGGGGGTTCTAACTGGCACAGGACTCCTTTATTCCCTTTTTGTGAGCACCCTTCATAAATTTGTACGTTCCCTTCAGTTGTCAGAGGGCTCCGACCAACGCAAGAGACCCTCTGTCATTCGGGCTCCTGTCCCCGTCCCTGTTGAGCAAATCTTCCCCTGAACGAATCGAGGTTCCTTGTTGACACGTAATGCCCTTGTAGGTACTGTGGGTCCCTGAATGGTACAGGAGCCCGACCAATGTGGACTGCGGGCCCGGCCTCGTTCCTGCTTGGGAATTGGGCCCCAGAGCTCCCACTAACACGGAGCCGACTGCTTGTTGTTCGTGATCTCTGTTCGAAATAGAGGAACGCTCTGTCTCAGGGGTCCCTATCTGGGTAAAAAATATTCAACTGACATTTGAGATCACTGCCGCATAGGCGGGGGTCCTAAATGTAACCTACAGCATCCCTTTGAACCCTTCAGGCCTTTAATCTTTGGCCTCGGGAGACCCTTCGGCCCCTCTTCGTGCCCCCTCAAACACTGCCCCGACTCGGGGCCGCTTGCCGCCAAAAGAGCCCAGTTAGGTACCAGTGTGGTTTCTAACCGACACAGGAGCCCCTCGTTGTGCCAGGGATCCCGAACATTGCAAATGGCGGACCCCAGCCTCGTTTCTGCTTGGGTAGTAGGCCTCAAGTGATTCAGGCGACACGGGGCGGCATCCCCTGGACGATCCGACGACCTTTAGAGGGATACATCATACATTAGTGATCCGCTCCCTCACGCGGGACCTTCAAATCAGCCAACTGTTCGGTGTTCGTGGTCTCTGGCTAACTTAGACACCCTCATTGTCTCAGGGGTTCCTAAAACGATGCAAGAGAAC